TATATATATATATATATATATATATATATATATCGTCGGCACCCATTCGAGCATGGAGATCCTGACCCTCTCTTCCTATTTCCTCTCCTCCTTGCTGGCGGTGGTGTAGATGACTGTGTATCAAAAAGAAAGTTTGACAAGGACATTCAGGTGACTTTGATTTTGGTGGACAATTCTGCGCGAAAATGTCCACACACTTGGTCAGAAGCACATCCCTTGCTGCTCAGTGGGGGTTGAGGCCGGTGAGGTCTGGAAAATATGGTTCAATCGGGCTGTCGGATGCTTGGTCTGTCAAGATCCGCCTTGGTTACGTCTATCCGATTGACGCTGCCCTCTAATGCCACTTTGTAGATCTTTGTTTATTTCGCTGTTGAGGACTTCGTTGTTGGTTGAGGATGTGGCGCGTTCAGTCGGGTCCCCCCTCGACCATACCGCCATGGGTGGCCCTACAAGAGTTGGAACTGCAGATGGCTTCGATCTTGGGATCAATGAGACACGTAAACCTTCTACCATGACAAGCAAAGCCCATAGATATTTTAATCTGGATACCGGAGTGAACATTTCATTATCAAATGTACAACTTTGACTTATTATAATTTTAAAGACAATGATAAATACGAATCAATGAATAAGAAAGGAATAAAAGTATAAAATTATCGTAAAAGAATTAACGTTACAACTGGAAACGCTTTTCCTACTAATTTGAAAATACGTTACTTATACACTGACATGAATAATTCTATATTTATATTTAAGCGTAATATTTCTCCTTTTTATGAAAGAGGGCGCAATTTTCGAAATTATAGGAAATGCATTTCGAGTCGTAATGTCTGTTTTGTTTATCAATGACTATTGGTTCAATATTATCGATTACTTTTCCGATTATTTATCATTTAAATGTTTTTAACATTTCCCAAAATTTTCTTTTATCTTTAATATATATATATATATATATATATATATATATATATATATATATATTCGCTTGAGGATGAAAATGGAACTAATGTCTTTTAAACAAGTATGTTCACGAAGACTTACTCTACACCTTTCTGACCATAGCTCAATTAGATCTCATTCATGGAGACCTATCAGACCCTATTCGGAAAATAATACAGGAAAATTCTGTTTGCCCGTCCATGTGCTTGAAACATCTCTAACTTGGGCCACACTTGTTCTACATAGACATACATTTTTGGAATCAGGTTAATCCTGAGATTGAAAATCTGCCCTTCATCTGTTGCTTGAACATCCAACATTGGGACTTGTGCCCGGGTCGGGAATGAAAAACTCAAGTTGTAAAATAATTGAAAAAAAATAGTGATTTTAAAAGTTTTTAATTTATATTGAGTTTGAAGTAACACAAAAACTTTGTGAATTTTAAGATTTTTGTTTTAAATTTAGTTTAAGATATCTCCAAAACTTTGTGAATTGAGGAAATCAAATTTATTTCTTCAAAATGCCAAGGATTCAAAGTTAAAGTAAGTTGTTTCGTAACGTGAGGTTTTGAAGTTTCGAAAAGTTTGTGATTTGAAGAATTTAACTCAGTTGATATTCCACGAAGTTTGGGATTTGATGAACTCAATTTTCGGCCTGAATTGGGATTTCGGTCCAAATCGAACTTTCGGAACAAATCGGTCTTTTGGCCAAAAATGCGTTTATAACTCGAATCAAATTTAAATTGCGTTTTGAAGTTCCATACAGTGAATTGTGGAATTCAAAGTTATTTCTTCAAAATTATCATTGTTGTTTTCTAAGCTGGACTAGAGTTGTCTTTAGTTTGAGGCCAGAGGCCTAATTAGACCTCCATAAGAGCTAGCTTAAATGTTAGCACTTACCGCGTCTTTTAAGTTAGTATATATACAGTGAGTAGCAAAAGTATTTAACACATTGGTTTTTCTTACATATCTCAAAAAATAACAGATCAATTTCAACGAAACTTATAGGAAATATTTAAACGAACATTCTCGATCAAAACATAGAAGGAAAATTTCAAACCACTGTTTTGAGAAACATTTATTAACAATAAATAAAATAACCCATATGCAAAAGTATTTAACACACTTTTACTAATATTTAGTACAGTAGTCTCTGTTCTGCTTCACAGCCTCCAGTCGTTTCCGTAGTCTTCAACTAGTTTCTTGCAGGTACTTGTTGGTATTTTGACCCATTCTTCTTCACAAATTTTCTTCAATTTGTTTAAATTGATGGATTTCTTTTTAGGAACTCGTAACTCAATAGTTTCCCAAATTTTCGATTGGATTTAAATCAGTGATTGACTTTGGCCATTCTAGGACATTAATGTCATTATTATTAAACCAATTCTTAGTTGTTTTAGCAGTATGCTTCGGGTCATTGTCTTGCTGAAATACAAAATCACGACCATGTCCCAAAGATGTGGCACTGTTCAGGAGTTGAATGACAAAATTTGAGTGTATTTTGCAGCATTCATTGTTCCTTCGATGATTTTCATTTTTCCTACTCCATTTGAAGAAAAACAACCCCACATCATAATATTTCCACCTCCATGTTTGACTGTAGGGATGGTATTTGCTGGCTCGTATTCCGTTCCTTTTTTCCTCCATACACGAGTGCGCCAGTTTCGTTCGTAAAGCTCAATTTTCGTTTCGTCTGACCAAATTACTTTCTCCCAGAAATCATTAGATTCAATTTCATATTTCTTTACAAAATTCAAACGGACTTGTACATGTCGGCGTTTCAGTAATGGAGTCTTTCTCGGTGATCTTGAAGTGAGACTGCACCGATTCAGTGATCTTTTAATTGTATCTTTACTAACTTCAATTCCGGCATTTTTCAAATCATTCTGAATTTCTCGACGAGTTGAAAATGGATTTTTCTTCACAGTACGGGAAATGTATCGCTCATTAGCCCCATTTAAGATACGGAGACGACGAATGTTTTCAATAGTATCGAATTTTTTCCATTTTCGAACAACAGCACGAACTGTACTCACAAGCAAATTCAAATCTTGAGCGATTTTTCTATATCCCTTACCATCTTTGTGATTCTTTATGATCTTCTTGCGCATGTCGTTCGACAGTTCTTTTGTTTTCACCATTTTCTTGCGGTAGTGGCAACAAAATAGCTGCAGTGTCTCAAAGCTGTTATCTAATAGCCAGTTGAGTGTCATGCAGTGCTGTCATTGGTCGACATATCACATCATATCAATATGGGTAGGAATCATGACGCCACGTCTCTCCTAGCATAATATTTGCATTGGTGTTAAATACTTTGCATATGGGCTATTTTATTTATTGTTAATAAATGTTTCTCAAAACAGTGGTTTTAAATTTTCCTTCTATGTTTTGATCGACGATGTTTGTTTAAATATTTCTTATAAGTTTCGTTGAAATTGATCTGTTATTTTTTGAGATATGTAAGAAAAACCAATGTGTTAAATACTTTTGCTACCCACTATATATATATATATATATATATATATATATATATATATATAACTGATAACCCATTATAGAGGGAGCTATCGTTTAGACCCACACGCCATACCGACTTGGTCACGGAGCAACAGTTGGTTAGGCGAAGTCAAATTTCGTGCTTTCAAGCGATATTTCTCCTGCCATAGCTCTTTTGAACTTTTTCGTATCTGCAGTTTCGTATCCAAACGTAGGCAATGAATTTTAGAATGGATTTTTTTTATTAATCCGACAGATTTATATCACCTTAAGCTTTATTTTTAATTGATATTCATATTTAATTAAATTATATATTCATTAAGAAAAAACTTTATTAAACGAATTACAGCCACTTACGATTTTTTATGTAGTTTATCGTCATACCCAGAACTACTGCACTGAATAGCACTAGTTCTTCGGTAAATGAATACCGAATGTTTCCAGGCAGTGAATAAAAGCACGACTCGAGGAAGATTCCTTATAATGTAACGTCTAATATTGCCATTACCATATCGATTTTAAAATATACAAAAAGGCATACATTTTTTTTTGTCAAGTAAATTTTTAATTAGTCCTATTCTTAAAATGTTATGTCGAGAACTAGTCGTGTCTGAAATCGTCCGATTATATGTATTGGATGATTTGAACATTAAAGAAAAACATTTGTATAGAAAATTTTAAGTAAATAAATATAGTAAATGTTTATATTTATGTTTTATTAAATTTTAGAAAAAATATTCAAAATTATCATCGTAATATAATCAAAACTGTGACAAAATAAATGTGTCTAAATATTTTCATAGAGAAAGAAAGAAAATGAAAAAAGAGGGAAAAAGGAAAAAAAGAAACTGGCCCAAAAAAAGAACGAACATTAAACAAAAAACATACAAAAATTGGAAGAGAATTTGAGAAAGAAGGTTTAAAGAAAGAAAGAAAGAAAGAAAGAAAGAAAGAAAGAAAGATTGATTGATTGACTGATTGACTGATTGATTTGTTTTTTTTTTTGTTTTTTACGGCTTATCAGCCTTTTTAAGGTTATTTAAAGTACAGTGCAACCTCGGTTCTCGAACGTCTCATATGTCGAACAAATCGGTTTTCGAACAGAAAATTCGAGATGAAAATACCTCAGTTATCGAACAAAATTTCGGTTCTCGAAAAACATAGCTGAACCGAATAATTTCTGAGTCGACCGTCGTGTTGTATACATTCGTGTGTTGTGTCGTGCTTTTCTTTTCCAATTTTATTGTACTGTGATTTTTTCTCTACATTGATTCACATTGGGAAAATAATTTCGGGTTACGAACGCCCTTCAGGAACGAATTAAATTCGTGAACAGAGGTTCTACTGTAAAAAAAAAAAAAAAAAAAAAAATTCAGAATATATAAATTTTTTCGAGTTAATAATTATTTACGGATACAAGTCATACTAATTAACCCATAGCTGGAGGGTACCAACGTGGATACATACCTTGCACATAAGAATATAACGAACCCAAATGTAATTGGAAATCGGATTTCCGATTTCCAATCCCGAACCGTTATCCATTACACCATCCGCACATCCAAGCTTACAACACCTGTCATTCCAATCCGTCACCGATCTAGGTACTGACCAGGCTCGACGTTGCTTAACTTCAGTGATCATACGAGAACCGGTGTTGAAAGAAAGAAAGAAAGAAAGAAAGAAAAAGAAAAGAACTAAAAAAAGAAAGTATATAAAAAGCAACATCTAGAAAAAATATCAGCTGCTTTGGAATACGAGGTGTTGTAAGTATAAATATACGGATTATGTAATGGATAATGTCTGGGAATTGTTAATCGTTATATTCACTCACGTACAAATAGCTTTGGAAAAGGTATGAATCCACCTCTTCTCCCTGAGATTAATTAGTAAATCTCCCCCAGCTATGGGATAATTAGTAAATAATTATAATCTTCAAAATCTCCCCCCAGATATGGGTGAATCAATAAATTATTATTATCTCCCTACCGAAAAAAGAAGACTCTTAAAATCTCTATATATTTTCTAGCTTTAAATAACAGGCAAAGCGTTAATAAGCCGTACAAAAGCGAATCAATGAAGAAAAAAAGCGACGAAATAAAAAAAGAAAAACGAAAAGAAAGTATAACGACAATAAGAAAGAAAGAAAGAAAGAAAGAAAGAAAGAAAGAAGGGAAGGGGAAAAGACATTACTTACACTGAAGTGTGGAAAAGAAAGAAAGAAAGAAAGAAAGAAAGAAAGAAAGAAAGAAAGAAAAAGAAAGAAGGAAGGGAAAAAGACATTACTTACACTGAAGTGTGGAAAAGAAAGAAAGAAAGAAAGAAAGAAAGAAAGAAAGAAAGAAAGAAAGAGGGGAAGGAGAAAAGACATTACTTACACTGAAGTGTGGAAAAGAAAAAGAAAGAAAGAAAGAAAGAAAGAAAGAAAAGAAAGAAAGACATTACTTACAAAGTGTGGGAAAGAAAGAAAGAAAGAAAAGGGGAAGGAGAAAAGACATTACTTACACTGAAGTGTGGAAAAGAAAGAAAGAAAGAAAGAAAAAGAAAGAAAAGAAAGAAAAGAAAGAAAAGGGAAGAGAGAAAAGACATTACTTAACTGAAGTGGAAAGAAAGGAAAAAAGAAAAGAAAGAAAGAAAAAAGAAAGAAAGAGGGAAGGGAGAAAGAAACTGAAGTGTGGAAGAAAGAAAGAAAGAAAGAAAGAAAGAAAGAAAAGAAAAGAAAGAAAGAGGGGAAGGAGAAAAGACATTACTTACACTGAAGTGGAAAAGAAAGAAAGAAAAGAAAGAAAGAAAGAAAGAAAGAAAAAGAAAGAAGAAGGGAAGGAGAAAAGACATTACTTGGAAACTGAAAGAAAGAAAGAAAAAAAAAAGAAAGAAAGAAAAGAAAGAAAAGAAAGAAAGAAAGAAAGAAAGAAGAAAGAAAGGGAAGGAGAAAAAGACATTACTTACACTGAAGTGTGGAAAAAAGAAAGAAAGAAAGAAAAAGAAAAAGAAAGAAAGAAAAAGAAAGAAGGGGAAGGAGAAAAGACATTACTTACACTGAAGTGTGGAAAAGAAAGAAAGAAAGAAAAAAAAGAAAGAAAAAAAAGAAAGGAAAGAAAGAGGGAAGGAGAAAAGACATTACTTACACTGAAGTGTGGGAAAAAAGAAAGAAAGAAAGAAAGAAAGAAAAAGAAAGAAAGAAAGAAAGAGGGAAGGAGAAAAGACATTACTTACACTGAAGTGTGGAAATGAAAAGAAAGAAAGAAAGAAAGAAAGAAAGAAAAGAAAGAAAAGAAAGAAAGAAAAAAGAGGGAAGGAGAAAAGACATTACTTACACTGAAGTGAAATGAAGAAAGAAAGAAAGAAAGAAAAAAAGAAAGAAAGAAAAAAGAAAGAAAAGAGGGAAGGAGAAAGACATTACTTACACTGAAGTGTGGAAAAAGAAAGAAAAGAAAAGAAAGAAAGAAAGAAAGAAAGAAAGAAAGAGGGGAAGGAGAAAAGACATTACTTACACTGAAGTGTGGAAATGAAAGAAAGAAAGAAAGAAAGAAAAAGAAAGAAAGAAAGAAAAGGAAAAGGGAAGGAAAAGACATTACTTACACTGAAGTGTGGAAATGAAAGAAAGAAAGAAAGAAAGAAAGAAAGAAAGAAAGAAAGAAAGAAAGAGGGGAAGGAGAAAAGACATTACTTACACTGAAGTGTGGAAATGAAAGAAAGAAAGAAAGAAAGAAAGAAAGAAAGAAAGAAAGAAAGAAAGAAAGGGAAGGAGAAAAGACATTACTTACACTGAAGTGTGGAAATGAAAGAAAGAAAGAAAGAAAGAAAGAAAGAAAGAAAGAAAGAAAGAGGGGAAGGAGAAAAGACATTACTTACACTGAAGTGTGGAAATGAAAGAAAGAAAAAGAAAGAAAGAAAGAAAGAAAGAAAGAAAGAAAGAGGGGAAGGAGAAAAGACTTACACACTGGAAGTGTGGAAATGAAAGAAAAGAAAGAAAGAAAGAAAGAAAGAAAGAAAGAAAGAAAGAGGGAAGGAGAAAAGACATTACTTACACTGAAGTGTGGAAAGAAAGAAAGAAAGAAAGAAAGAAAAAGAAAGAAAGAAAGAAAGAGGGAAGGAGAAAAGACATTACTTACACTGAAGTGTGGAAATGAAAAGAAAGAAAGAAAGAAAGAAAGAAAGAAAGAAAGAAAGAAAGAAAGAGGGAAGGAAAAAAAGACATTACATTTACACTGAAGTGTGGAAAAGAAAAGAAAGAAGTGTGGAAAGAAAGAAAGAAAAGAAAGAAAGAAAAAAGAAAGAGGGAAGGAGAAAAGACATTACTTACACTGAAGTGTGGAAAAGAAAGAAAGAAAGAAAGAAAAGAAAGAAAGAAAGAAAGAAAAGAAAGAAAGAGGGGAAGGAGAAAAGAACTGAAGTGTGGAAGAAAGAAAGAAAAGAAAGAAAGAAAGAAAGAAAGAAAGAGGGGAAGGAGAGATTACTATTACACTGAAGTGTGGAAAGAAAGAAAGAAAGAAAGAAAGAAAGAAAGAAAGAAAGAAAAAAGAAAGAAAGAGGGAAGGAGAAAAGACATTACTTACACTGAAGTGTGGAAAGAAAGAAAGAAAGAAAGAAAGAAAGAAAGAAAGAAAGAAAGAAAGAAAGAAAGAAAGAAAGGGGAAGGAGAAAAGACATTACTTACACTGAAGTGTGGAAAAGAAAGAAAGAAAGAAAGAAAGAAAGAAAGAAAGAAAGAAAGAAAGAAAAGAAAGAGGGAAGGAGAAAAGATATTACTTACACTGAAGTGTGGAAAGAAAGAAAGAAAAAAGAAAAGAAAGAAAGAAAGAAAGAAAGAAAGAAGGGAAGGAGAAAAAGACATTACTTACACTGAAGTGTGGAAAGAAAGAAAGAAAAGAAAGAAAGAAAGAAAGAAAGAAAGAAAGAAAGAAAGGGAAGGAAGGAAAAGACATTACTTACACTTGGAAAAGAAAGAAAGAAAGAAAGAAAGAAAGAAAGAAAGAAAGAAAGAAAGAAAGGGGAAGAGAAAAGACATTACTTACACTGAAGTGTGGAAAGAAAAAGAAAGAAAGAAAAGAAAGAAAGAAAGAAAGAAAGAAAAGGGAAGGAGAAAAGACATTACTTACTGAAGTGTGGAAAGAAAAAAGAAAAAAAAGAAAGAAAGAAAGAAAGAAAGAAAAGAAAGAAAGGGAAGGAGAAAAGACATTACTTACACTGAAGTGTGGAAAAGAAAGAAAGAAAGAAAGAAAGAAAGAAAAAGAAGAAAGAAAAGAAAGAGGGGAAGGAGAAAGACATTACTTACACTGAAGTGTGGAAAAGAAAGAAAGAAAGAAAGAAAAAGAAAGAAAGAAAGAAAGAAAGAAAAAGAAAGAAAGAAAGAAAGAGGGAAGGAGAAAAGACATTACTTACACTGGAAGTGTGGAAAAGAAAGAAAGAAAAGAAAGAAAGAAAAGAAAGAAAAAAGAAAGAAAGAAAGAAAGAGGGGAAGGAGAAAAGACATTACTTACACTGAAGTGTGGAAAAGAAAGAAAGAAAGAAAGAAAGAAAGAAAGAAAGAAAAGAAAGAAAGAAAGAGGGGAAGGAGAAAAGACATTACTTACACTGAAGTGTGTGGAAAAAAGAAAGAAAAAAGAAAAGAAAGAAAGAAAGAAAGAAAAGAAAAGAAAGAAAGAAAGAAAGAGGGAAGGAGAAAAGACATTACTTACACTGAAGTGTGGAAATGAAAGAAAGAAAGAAAGAAAGAAAAGAAAGAAAAAAGAAAGAAAGAAAGAAAGAAAGAAAGAAGGGGAAAGGAAAGAAAAAAGAAATTACTTAGAACTGGAAGTGTGGAAAGCGTGTGGAAAGAAAGAAAGAAAGAAAAGAAAGAAAGAAAGAAAGAAAGAAAGAAAGAAAGAGGGGAAGGAGAAAAGACATTACTTACACTGAAGTGTGGAAAAGAAAGAAAGAAAGAAAGAAAGAAAGAAAGAAAGAAAGAAAGAAAGAAAGAGGGGAAGGAGAAAAGACATTACTTACACTGAAGTGTGGAAAAGAAAGAAAGAAAGAAAGAAAGAAAGAAAGAAAGAAAGAAAGAAAGAAAGAGGGGAAGGAGAAAAGGACATTACTTAATGTGAAGAGGTGAAATGAAAAAAGAAAGAAAGAAAGAAAGAAAAGAAAGAAAGAAAGAAAGAAAGAAAGAAAGAAAGAAGGAAGGAAGGAGAAAAGACATTACTTACACTGAAGTGTGGAAAAGAAAGAAAGAAAGAAAGAAAGAAAGAAAAAGAAAGAAAGAAAGAGGGGAAAGACAACTTAAACTGAAGTGTGGAAAAGAAAGAAAGAAAGAAAGAAAGAAAAGAAATAAAAGGAAGAGAAAAGACATTACTTAAGAAGTGTGTGAAAAAAGAAAGAAAGAAAGAAAAAAAGAAAGAAAAAAGAAAGAAAGAGGGGAAGGAGAAAGACATTACTTACACTGAAGTGGAAAAGAAAGAAAAGAAAGAAAGAAAGAAAGAAAGAAAGAAAGAAAGAAAGAAAGAGGAAGGAGAAAAGACATTACTTACACTGAAGTGTGGAAAAAAGAAAGAAAGAAAGAAAGAAAGAAAGAAAGAAAGAAAGAAAGAAAGAAAGAGGGAAGGAGAAAAGACATTACTTACACTGGAAGTGTGGAAAAGAAAGAAAGAAAGAAAGAAAGAAAGAAAGAAAAGAAAAAGGGAAGGAGAAAAGAACACTGGAAGTGTGAAAGAAAGAAAAAGAAAGAAAGAAAGAAAGAAAGAAAGAAAGAAAAGAGAAAAGAAATTACTTACACTGAAGTGGAAAAAAGAAAGAAAGAAAGAAAAAAAGAAAGAAAGAAAGAAAGAAAGAAAGAAAGAGGGGGAAGGAGAAAAGACATTACTACACTTTGAAGTGTGGAAAAAAAGAAAGAAAGAAAGAAAGAAAGAAAGAAAGAAAGAAAGAAAGAAAAGAAAGAGGAAGGAGAAAAAGACATGAATTGGAAGTGTGGAAAGAAAAAAAGAAAGAAAGAAAGAAAGAAAGAAAGAAAGAAAAGAAAGAAAAGAAAGAAAGAGGGGAAGGAAAAAAAGACATTACTTAGAAAGTGTGGAAAAGAAAGAAAGAAAGAAAAGAAAGAAAGAAAGAAAGAAAGGGAAGGAGAAAAGACATTACTTACACTGAAGTGTGGAAAGAAAGAAAGAAAGAAAGAAAGAAAAGAAAGAAAGAAAGAAAGAAAGAGGGGAAGGAGAAAAGACATTACTTACACTGAAGTGTGGTGGAAAAGAAAGAAAGAAAGAAAAGAAAGAAAGAAAAAGAAAGAAAAGAAAGAAAGAAAGAGGGAAGGAGAAAGACATTACTTACACTGAAGTGTGAAAAGAAAGAAAGAAAGAAAGAAAGAAAGAAAGAAAAGAAAAGAAAGAAAGAAAGAAAGAAAGGGAAGGAGAAAAGACATTACTTACACTGAAGTGTGGAAAGAAAGAAAGAAAGAAAGAAAGAAAGAAAAGAAAGAAAGAAAGAGGGAAGGAGAAAAAGATATTGCTTACACTGAAGTGTGAAAAAAAGAAAGAAAGAAAAGAAAGAAAGAAAGAAAGAAAGAAAGAAAGAGGGAAGGAGAAAAGACATTACTTACACTGAAGTGTGAAAAGAAAGAAAGAAAGAAAGAAAAGAAAGAGAAAGAAAGAAAGAAAAAAGAAAGAAAGGAAAAGAAAAGGAGAAAAAGAAAGAAAGAAAGAAAGAAAGAAAAGAAAGAAAAGAAAGAAACAAAGAAAGTGTGGAAAAAAGAAAGAAAGAAAGAAAGAGGGAAAAGAAAGAAAAAGAAAGGGAAAAGAAAGAAAGAAAGAAAGAAAGAAAGAAAGAAAGGGAAAAAAGAAAGAAAAGAGGGAAGGAGAAGGTATGATTTACACTGAAGTGGAAAAAAGAAAGAAAGAAAGAAAGAAAGAAAGAGAAAGAAAGAAAGAAAGAGGGGAAGAGAAAGACATTACTTACAATGAAGTGTGGAAAAGAAAGAAAGAAAGAAAGAAAGAAAAGAAAGAAAGAAAGAAAGAAAGAAAGAAAGAAAGAAAAGGGAAGGAGAAAAGACATTACTTAATGAAGTGGAAAAGAAAGAAAGAAAGAAAGAAAGAAAGAAAGAAAGAAAGAAAGAGGGAAGGAGGAAAGATTATTTACACTGGAAGGTGGAAAAGAAAGAAAGAAAGAAAGAAAGAAAGAAAGAAAGAAAGAAAGAAAGAAAAGGGAAGGAAAAAAGACATTACTTACACTGAAGTGTGGAAAAAAAGAAAGAAAGAAAGAAAGAAAGAAAGAAAGAAAAAAGAAAAAGAAAGAAAGAAAGGGGAAGGAGAAAAGACAAGGAGAATTACTTACACTGAAGTGTGGAAAGAAAGAAAGAAAGAAAAGAAAGAAAGAAAGAAAAGGAAAGAAAGAGGGGAAGGAGAAAAGAGAATTACTTAGAAAGAAAGTAGGAAGGAGAAAAGACATTACTTACACTGAAGGGAAAGAAAGAAAGAAAGAAAGAAAGAAAAGAAAGAAAGAAAGAAAGCAAAGAAAGAAAGAGGGAAGGAGAAAAGACATTACTTACACTGAAGTGTGAAAAGAAAGAAAGAAAAGAAAGAAAGAAAGAAAGAAAGAAAGAAAGAAAGAAAGAGGGAAGGAGAAAAGACATTACTTACACTGAAAAGTGGAAATGAAAGAAAGAAAGAAAGAAAGAAAGAAAGAAAGAAAGAAAAGAAAGAGGGGAAGGAAAAGACATTACTTACACTGAAGTGTGGGAAAAGAAAGAAAGAAAAAGAAAGAAAGAAAGAAAGAAAGAAAGAAAGAAAGAAAGAAAGAGGGAAGGAGAAAGATATTACTTACATTGAAGTGTGGAAAAGAAAGAAAGAAAGAAAGAAAGAAAGAAAGAAAGAAAGAAAGAAAGAAAAAAGAAACATTACTTACACTGAAGTGTGGAAAGAAAGAAAGAAAGAAAGAAAGAAAGAAAGAAAGAAAGAAAAGAGGGGAAGGAGATACATTTACACTGAAGTGTGGAAAGAAAGAAAGAAAGAAAGAAAGAAAGAAAGAAAGAAAAGAAAGAAAGAAAGAGGGAAGGAGAAAGACATTACTTACACTGAAGTGTGAAAAGAAAGAAAGAAAGAAAGAAAGAAAAGAAAGAAAGAAAGAAAGAAAGAAAAAAGATATTAAGAGGGAAGTTGGAAAAGAAAGAAAAGAAAGAAAAGAAAGAAAGAAAGAAAGAAAGAAAGAAAGAAAGAAAATGGGAAAGAAAAGAAATTACACTGAAAAAAGAAAGAAAAAAGAAAGAAAGAAAGAAAGAGGGAAGGAGAAAAGACATTACTTACACTGAAGTGTGGAAAAGAAAGAAAGAAAGAAAAAGAAAGAAAGAAAGAAAGAAAGAAAGAAAGAAAGAGGGAAGGAGAAAAGACATTACTTTACACAGTGTGAAAGAAAGGTGAAAAGAAAGAAAAGAAAGAAAGAAAGGGGAAGGAGAAAAGACATTACTACAAAGTGTGGAAAAAGAAAGAAAGAAAAGAAAAGGAAAGAAAGAAAGGAAGAAGGAAGAAGACATTTACACTGAAGTGTGGAAAAGAAAGAAAGAAAGTAAAAGAAAGAAAGAAAGAAAAGAAAGAAAAGAAAAGAAAGAAAAGATATTAAAAGAAGGGAAAAGGAGAAAAAAGAAAGAAAAGAAAGAAAGAAAGAAAGAAAGTGGAGGGAAGGAGAAAAGACATTAAACTGAAGTGTGGAAAGAAAGAAAGAAAGAAAGAAAAAAGAAAGAAAAAGAAAGAAAGAAAGAGGGAAGGAGAAAAGACATTACTTACACTGAAGTGTGGAAAAGAAAGAAAAAAGAAAGAAAGAAAGAAAGAAAGAAAGAAAGAAAGAGGGGAAGGAGAAAAGATATTACTTACACTGAAGTGTGGGAAAAAAGAAAGAAAGAAAGAAAGAAAAAAGAAAGAAAGAAAGAAAGAAAGAGGGAAGGAGAAAAGATATTACTTACACTGAAGTGTGGAAAAGAAAGAAAGAAGAAAAAGAAAGAAAGAAGAGAAAGAAAGAAAAGAGGGAAGGAGAAAAGAAAAACTACACTGAAAGTGTGAAAAGAAAGAAAGAAAGAAAGAAAGAAAAAAGAAAGAAAGAAAGAAAGAAAGGGGGAAGAGAAAAGAAATTACTTACACTGAAGTGTGGAAAAGAAAGAAAGAAAGAAAAGAAAGAAAGAAAGAAAGAAAAGAAAGAAAAAAGAAAGGAAAAGAGGGAAGGAGGAAAAGACATTACTTACAAGAAAAAAGTGTGGAAAAGAAAGAAAGAAAGAAAGAAAGAAAGAAAGAAAGAAAGAAAGAAAGAAAAGAAAAGAGGGAAGGAGAAAAGATATTACTTACACTGAAGTGTGGAAAAGAAAGAAAGAAAAGAAAGAAAGAAAGAAAGAAAAGAAAGAAAGAAAGAGGGGAAGGAGAAAAGACATTACTTACACTGAAGTGTGGAAAAAAGAAAGAAAGAAAGAAAAGAAAAGAAAGAAAGAAAGAGAAAGAAAGAAAAGAAAAGGGGAAAGAAAAGAAAGAAAAGAAAGAAAGAAACAGGGAAGTGTGAAAAAAAAGAAAGAAAGAAAGAAAGAAAGAAAGAAAAAGAAAGAAAGAAAGGGAAGGAGAAAAGACATTACTGGAAGTGTGGAAAAGAAAGAAAGAAAGAAAGAAAAAAGAAAGAAAGAAAGAAAGAAGGAAGGAGAAAGACAACTGACACTGAAGTGGAAAGAAAGAAAGAAAGAAAGAAAAAGAAAGAAAGAAAGAAAGAAAGAAAGAAAGAAAGAAAGGGGAAGGAGAAAAAGACATTACTTACACTGAAGTGTGGAAAGAAAAAAGAAAGAAAGAAAAAGAAAGAAAGAAAGAAAGAAAGAAAAAAAGAAAAGGAAAGAAAAGGGAGAAAAGACATTACTTACACTGAAGTGTGGAAAAGAAAGAAAGAAAGAAAGAAAGAAAGAAAAGAAAGAAAGAAAGAAAGAAAGAGGGAAGGAGAAAAGATATTACTTACACTGAAGTGTGGAAAAGAAAGAAAGAAAGAAAGAAAGAAAGAAAATCTAAAGAAAAGAAAGAAAGATGGAGGGAAAGGAGTCAAAAAACATTATTTTCACCTGGAAGAAATTCAAAAAAGAATGCCAAGAAAGAAGAATCCACAGAAAGTTCGAAAGAATTTGTAAAGAGAGAAGATACTTCTTTCCCAAGAAATGTCTTGGGAAAAGCAAAGAAGTGGATGCAAAAGAACCAAATGTAAAGAAAGAAAGAAAGAAAGAGGGAAGGAGAAAAGATATCTCATGATATGAAGTTTGGAAAAGAAATTTCAGAGAAAGAAAGAAAGAAAAGGTTTCTTGAAAGATTGAAAGAAAGAGGGAAGGAAAAAAGATATTACTTAAACTGGAAGTAAGGAAAAGAAGAAAACAAAGAGAAGAAAGAAAGAAAGAAAAGAAAGAAAAGAAAGAGGGAAGGAGAAAAGGGATGCCTTACACTGAAGTGTGGAAAGAAAGAAAGAAAGAAAGAAAGAAAGAAAAAAGAAAGAAAGAGAAGAAAGAGGGGAAGGAGAAAAGAAGATTCGATTGACACTGAAGTTTGAAAAAGAAAGAAAGAAAAAAGAAAGAAAGAAAGAAGGAAGGAAAGAAAGAAAGAAAAAAGAAAGAAAAAAAGAAAGAAAGAAAGGAGGAAAAGAGGCGGTTACACTGAAGTGTGGAAAAAAGAGAAAGAAAGAAAGAAAGAAAGAAAGAAAGAAAAGAAAGAAAAGAGGGAAGGAGAAAAGACATTCAGAACAGTGAAGTATGGAAAGAAAGAAAGAAAGAAAGAAAGAAAGAAAGAAAGAAAGAAAGAAAGAGGGAAGGAGAAAAGATATTACTTGTTTTGATTTGTGGAAAAGAAAGAAAGAAAGAAAGAAAAAAGAAAAGAAAGAATGAAAGAAAAGAAAGAAAGAAAGAAAAAGGAGAAAAATATTACTTAATGAAAAGTGATGAAAAAAAGAAATAAAGAAAAGAAAAAAGAAAGAAAAGAAAGAAAAGAAAAGGAGAAAAGACATTAATAAGGGGAAGTGAGAGAAAAGAAAGAAAAGAAAGAAAGAAAGAAAGAATCAGATAAAGAAAGAACGAAAGAATTATTGGGATTAATTAAAAGAAATTACTTAAACTCTATTGTGGAAAAGAAAGAAAGAAAGAAAGAAAAAAGAAAGAAAGAAAGAAAAAAGAAAGAGGGAAGGAGACTGATGACATCTAGAGAAGTGTGGAAAGAAAAAAGAAAAAAGAAAGAAAGAAAGAAAAAAGAAAGGAAGGAAGAGGGAAGGAAAAAGAGGACTTACACTGGAAGTGTGGAAAAGAAAGAAAAGAAAGAAAGAAAAAAATAAAAAAAGAAAAAAAAGAAAGATAATAGGGGAAGGAGAAAAATAACTTAAAATGAAGTGTGAAAGAAAAAAAGAAATTAATGAAAGAAAGAAAGAAAAGAAAGAAAGAAAAAGAAAAAAGAAAGTGAAAGGAGAAAAGACATTTAAGGAAACTGAAGTGTGGAAAAGAAAGAAAGAAAAAAAAAAGAAAGAAAGAAAGAAAGAAAGAAAGAAAGAAAAGAAAGAAGGGAAGGAGAAAGGAAAGACTTAGACTCGAAGTGGAAAAGAAAGAAAAGAAAGAAAAGAAAGAAAGAAAAAGCAAAGAAAGAAAGAAAGAGGGAAGAAAAGACATTACTTACACTGAAGTGGAAAAGAAAGAAAGAAAGAAAGAAAGAAAGAAAGAAAGAAAGAGGAAGGAGAAAAGACATTACTTACACTGAAGTGGAAAAGAAAGAAAGAAAGAAAGAAAGAAAGAAAGAAAGAAAGAAAGAAAGAAAGAGGGAAGAGAAAAGATATTACTTACACTGGAAGTGGAAAGAAAGAAAGAAAGAAAGAAAGAAAGCAAAAGAAAGAAAGAAAGAAAGAAAGAAAGAGGGAAGGAGAAAAGATATTACTACAATTGAAGTGTGGAAAAGAAAGAAAGAAAGAAAGAAAGAAAGAAAGAAAGAAAGAAGGAAAGAAAGAGGGAAGGAGAAAGATATTACTTACATTGAAGTGGAAAGAAAGAAAGAAAGAAAAGAAAGAAAGAAAGAAAGAAAGAAAAGAAAGAAAGAAAGAAAGAGGAAGCAGGAAGATATCACTTACACTGAAGTGTGGAAAAGAAAGAAAGAAAGAAAGAAAGAAAGAAAGAAAGAAAGAAAGAAAGAGGAAGGAAAGACATTACTTACACTGGAAATGTGGAAATGAAAGAAAAGAAAAGAAAGAAAGAAAGAAAGAAAAGAAAAAAGAAAGAGGGAAGAAAAGACATTACTACACTGAAGTGTGGAAGAAAGAAAGAAAGAAAGAAAGAAAGAAAAGAAAGAAAGAAAGAAAGAAAGAAAAGAGGGGGAAGGAGAAAAAGACATTACTTACACTGAAGTGTGGAAAAGAAAGAAAGAAAGAAAGAAAGAAAAAAGAAAGAAAGAAAGAAAGGAAAGAAAAGAAAGAGGGATGAGAAAAGATACTACTAACTGAAGTGTGGAAAGAAAAAGAAAGAAAGAAAAGAAAGAAAAAGAAAGAAAGAAAGAAAGAAAGAGGGGGTTGAGAAGATATTACTTGCACTGTATGTGGAAATGAAAGAAAAAGAAAGAAAGAAAGAAAAGAAAGAAAGAAAGAAAGAAAGAAAAGAGGAAGGAAAAGACATTACTTACACTGAAGTGTGGAAAAGAAAGAAAGAAAGAAAGAAAGAAAAGAAAGAAAGAAAGAAAAGAAAGAAAGGGGAAGGAGAAAAGATATTACTTACACTGAAGTGTGGAAAAAGAAAGAAAGAAAGAAAGAAAGAAAGAAAGAAAGAAAGAAAAAAGAAAGAAAGAGGGAAGGAGAAAAGACATTACTTACACTGAAGTGTGGAAAAAAAGAAAGAAAGAAAGAAAGAAAAGAAAGAAAGAAAGAAAGAAAAAGAAAGAGGGAAGAGAAAAGACATTACTTACACTGGAAGTGGAAAAGAAAGAAAGAAAGAAAGAAAGAAAGAAAGAAAGAAAGAAAGAAAAGAGGGAAGGAGAAAGATATTACTTACACTGAAGTGTGGAAAGAAAGAAGAAAAGAAAGAAAGAAAGAAAGAAAAAAAGAAAGAAAGAAAGAAAAAGAAAGGGAAGGAAAAGATATTACTTACACTGAAGTGGGAAAAGAAAGAAAGAAAAAGAAAGAAAGAAAGAAAAGAAAGAAAGAAAAAGAGAAAGAGGGGAAGGAGAAAAGACATTACTTACACTTTTGAAGTGGAAAAGAAAGTGAAAAGAAAGAAAAAAAGAAAGAAAAGAAAGAAAAAGATATTAGAAAGGTGGAAAGAAAGAAAAAGAAAGAAAGGGAAAGAAAGAAAGAGGAAGACAAAACTTATTACTGAAGTGAAGCGGAAAAGAAAGAAAGAAAGAAAGAAAGAAAGAAAGAAAAGAAAGAAAGAAAGAGGGAAGGAGAAAGACATTACTTACACTGAAGTGTGAAAGAAAAAAGAAAGAAAAAAGAAAGAAAGAAAGAAAGAAAGAAAGAAAAGAAAAAGAAAGAAAGAAAGAGGGAAAGAAAGAAAAGAAAGAAAAAAGGAGAAATTACTTACACTGAAGTGTGGAAAAGAAAGAAAGAAAGAAAGAAAGAAAGAAAGAAAGAAAGAAAGAAAGAAAGAGGGGAAGGAGAAAAGACATTACTTACACTGAAGTGTGGAAAAGAAAGAAAGAAAGAAAGAAAGAAAGAAAGAAAGAAAGAAAGAGGGGAAGGAGAAAAGACATTACTTACACTGAAGTGTGGAAAAGAAAGAAAGAAAGAAAGAAAGAAAGAAAGAAAGAAAGAAAGAAAGAAAGAAAGAGGGGAAGGAGAAAAGACATTACTTACACTGAAGTGTGGAAAAGAAAGAAAGAAAGAAAGAAAGAAAGAAAGAAAGAAAGAAAGAAAGAAAGAGGGGAAGGAGAAAAGACATTACTTACACTGAAGTGTGGAAAAGAAAGAAAGAAAGAAAGAAAGAAAGAAAGAAAGAAAGAAAGAAAGAGGGGAAGGAGAAAAGACATTACTTACACTGAAGTGGAAAAGAAAGAAAGAAAGAAAGAAAGAAAGAAAGAAAAAAGAAAGAAAGAGGGAAGGAGAAAAGATATTACTTACAATTAAGTGTGGAAAAAAAGAAAGAAAGAAAGAAAGAAAGAAAGAAAGAAAGAAAGAAAGAGGGGAAGGAGGAAGAGAAAATTGAAGTTAAAGAAAGAAAGAAAGTGTGGAAAAGAAAGAAAGAAAGAAAGAAAGAAAAGAAGGAGAGAGACATTACTTACACTGAAGTGTGGAAAAGAAAGAGGGAAGGAGAAAGAAAGAAACTTAGAGGGGAAGAAAAAGTTAAAAGAAAGAAAGAAAGAAAGAAAGAAAGAAAGAAAGAAAGAAAAGAAAGAAAGAAAGAAAGAAAGAAAGAGGGGAAGGAGAAAAGACATTACTTACACTGAAGTGGAAAAAAGAAAGAAAAGAAAGAAAAGAAAGAAAGAAAGAAAGAAAGAGGGAAGGAGAAAAGACATTACTTACATTGAAGTGTGGAAAAAGAAAGAAAGAAAGAAAAGAAAGAAAGAAAGAAAGAAAAGAAAGAAAGAAAGAGGGAAGGAGAAAAGATATTACTTACACTGAAAGTGAAAAAAAAAGAAAGAAAGAAAGAAAGAAAGAAAGAAAGAAAGAAAGAAAGAAAGAGGGAAGGAGAAAAGACATTACTTACACTGAAGTGTGGAAAAGAAAGAAAAGAAAGAAAGAAAGAAAGAAAGAAAGAAAGGAAGAAAGAAAAGAAAGAAAGAAAGAGGGGGAAGGAGAAAAAGACATTACTTACACTGAAGTGTGGAAAAAAGAAAGAAAGAAAGAAAGAAAGAAAGAAAGAAAAGAAAGAGGGAAGGGAGAAAGGAAAATTACTTACACTGAAGTGTGGAAAAAGAAAGAAAGAAAAGAAAGAAAAGAAAGAAAGAAAGAAAGAAAAAGAAAGAGGGGAAGGAGAAAAGACATTACTTACACTGAAGTGGAAAGAAAGAAAGAAAGAAAGAAAGAAAGAAAGAAAGAAAGAAAGAGGGAAGGAGAAAAGACATTACTTACACTGAAGTGTGGAAAGAAAAGAAAAGAAAGAAAGAAAGAAAGAAAGAAAAGAAAGAAAGAAAGAAAGAAAGAGGGAAGGAGAAAAGACATTATTTTACACTGAAGTGTGGAAAAGAAAGAAAGAAAGAAAGAAAGAAAGAAAGAAAGAAAGAAAGAAAAGAAAGAGGGGAAGGGAGAAAAGATATTACTACACACTGAAGTGTGGAAAAGAAAAAAGAAAGAAAGAAAAGAAAGAAAGAAAAGAAAGAAAGAAAGAAAGAAAGAAAGAAGGGAAGGAGAAAAGACATTACTTACACTGAAGTGTGGAAAAGAAAGAAAGAAAGAAAGAAAGAAAGAAAGAAAGAAAAAGAAAGAAAGAGGGGAAGGAGAAAAGACATTACTTACACTGAAGTGTGGAAAAGAAAAGAAAGAAAAGAAAGAAAGAAAAGAAAGAAAGAAAGAAAGAAAGAAAGAAAGAGGGGAAGGAGAAAAGACATTACTTACACTGAAGTGTGGAAAAAAGAAAGAAAAGGAAAGAAAGAAAGAAAGAAAGAAAGAAAGAAAGAAAGAAAGAGGGGAAGGAGAAAAGACATTACTTACACTGAAGTGTGGAAAAGAAAGAAAGAAAGAAAGAAAGAAAGAAAGAAAGAAAGAAAGAAAGAAAGAACATATGAAGACGATTTTAAGAGAATAATAAAACAAACATGCGCTAAAATGTAACCGGTTAAAAAATGGCAGTGAGAAAAAAATAGGAAAGGAAAGAAATAAGAAAACTTGAAGTCATTTCGAAAGAAAGAAAATTATTCCTATACCGAATTGACAGTCCTTTATGAACTCAAGCGGACTGGCTTGCCATGCAAAATGCAATGAGACTGAAACTTCTACTGTGCTTTTTGAATCGGTTGAAGACAATGGGATTTCTTTTGTATTGCTCTGAAAAAACATTTTGCTAAGAAAATGCGAAACGCTAGAATTAAGCGTTCATATTTGGTGAACTCACCGAGAAAAAAAAGAAAGAAAGAAAGAAAGAAAGAAAGAAAGAAAGAAAGAAAGAAAGAAAGAAAGAAAGAAGAAAATGATCTGAAGAACGGGATGGAGAGATGTAAGAAAGAAAAAAAGAAAACGTGTGAAGAAGAAAGAGTAACCGATAAGAAAAATAGGAAACACAAAGGGAAAGAAAGAAAGAAAGAAAGAAAGAAAGAAAGAAAGAAAGAAAGAAAGAAAGAAGGGAAGGGGAAAAGACATTACTTACACTGAAGTGTGGAAATGAAAGAAAGAAAGAAAGAAAGAAAGAAAGAAAGAAAGAAAGAAAGAAGGGGAAAAGACATTACTTATACTGAAGTGTGGAAATGAAAGAAAGAAAGAAAGAAAGAAAAAGAAAGAAAAGAAAAGAAAGAAAGAAGGAAGGGAAAAGACATTACTTATACTGAAGTGTGGAAATGAAAGAAAGAAAGAAAGAAAGAAAGAAAGAAAGAAAGAAAGAAAGAAAGAAAGAAAGAATAAAAAAACTTGGAAAGGAATATGCAAAAGGCGGATGGGGAGAAACGAAAAGAAACAAGACGTAAAAAAGAGAAGCAAAAATGGAGTTTTAAGAGAGAACAAAAGAAAGACATCAAAGGTTGGTGAAAATATATTGGAAGAGAAATCGAAACAAAATGGATGCAAAAGAGAGAATACGATAGTGACGAAACGGTAGAGTAAAACAATTGTTTTAACCCCCAACTTAGGCATCGGCATTGTTCTAAATTCACCTTTCGGCCTTCCGTCTTCTAAGTAGATTGTCTTCTCAGTTGCTTCAGATGACTTCCTTTACTCTCGAGATCCATTAAAACAATCCTCTTAAGTTGAGTCATTAATAATTTTTGTTTTTGTTTATCAAACTTATTCTTAAAAAAGTACAATTACATTTTATTTAATGATATTTTCCCCATTATTTGCAATGTCTTCTTGCTACTTATCACTCGCTTCGAAACATTTTCAGTAAAAGTTCGCAGTTTTTGTCTATATTTCTGAGACGAGGTTGTAATGGCGTCGAATGTTGAATTGTTAATGTAAGATACCCCGTATTATATGTATTAGAAGTGGATAGAAGATTCATTTTCTCTGTTTTTTACATTGTTTATAATTGTTTCGGGGATTTCATGGTTAATGGAAGCCTTTGAAACGGTCAACTCTGGATTTTCACTGAGCGAAGAAGATACATCTTGTTTGTGTTGTTATTTTTTCTATTGCTACCCCTGCTTGTGGTGGAAAGGTTGTTTTTATAATATTGAAGTTTCAGATCTTTATATCTAGAATGATGAAATATCGTCACTGTTGGAGTGTCTTTTTTATTTTAAATGATGAAATTTCAGATCTTTATTTCTAGAATGATGAAATATCATCATGATTCATAACGAAATATTTTAACTATTTACTCTATTTACACTGTTCGGATCGTCGTCTTCATCTTTATTGCCATATTGGACTAAATAACCAGAACGAAATTCTAACTAAAATCACCTGAAGTATATCTAACCGTGATGTTGCAACCAGGAACTAAGGAAACGGAAGGACCGTTTCAGCCATTGCCCAGACACTACCGTGTCGGCCATACTGTTATGTGTGAATAAAAAGCAGGGATATCACTTCTGCCGACAGGGAAGTAACTAGACTTAACTGTGTTGTCGTTATTAGTACGGACTCTCTTTAACAAGTTGTGACATGTACAATAGCCGACGCGTCGTAAATAAGATGGGGTTAACAGTCTCTACAACATAAATAGTGTAGATAGTCCGCAGGTTTTGATGTGAAAAAGCTGCTATATAGGAATAATATGTCGCTGCCGACGCTTGAGTTTGAACACAGATCGCCAGTGAGCAAACACAGGCGATCCCATTATTGCATTAAGTAGACCACGTGACCATAGAGGAAACGCATAAGTAGGAATTAGCTTGGTGTCTAACTGATCGCTATTTCTAGTCTATACTCTACGGATCGACATTTCTAGTCTATCCTCTATTACTATTCGGATCACAATTTCTACGGTATCTTTTATTACTATTCAGACCGCTATTCTCTACTCTATTCATTATACTATTTCTCTATTTTGATCACTATACGGATTACTGTTCGAGCGAATATTATCGAGCAACTACTATTAATGCAAGTGTTATTCGAAGGCATCTGACACCAGCATTGTTCAACGGCGTTACTATAGATGTACCTACGATTACAAAGTCTCTACTACAATGAGCATTACGAAAGTGGCAAAGAGTATTTGTCGACATTGCAAAAGTCTTAACGAGTGATCATTGACATCACAAAAGAACTATTAAGAAAAGGACCCGCATGGGGCATATACAGATTTCTATATTATATTTTTATATATATGTTTCCGTCGTATTAGTAGTAATAGTGGGACCACAAGAATTTATTTATCCGCGTATATTATTCCCGCTTGGTTGGTCCAGTCATTCAAATCTTCGAGATGAAAACATTTATTAAACTACTTAGTAGAATGTATTGCTGAGAAGGAAAACATTTAAAAATAACAAAAATCCTCTTATACGTCAATAATAATTTTAATAATAATAATTGTTGTCGCATAACTACGGACGATAATGTTTAGGTTCTCATTGACATAAATACAGTAGTAAATACTGTATGTTGGTCTGCAGTTGGAGATTCGTCTTCATCTGTGCTGGTTTCTCTTCATATATATATATATATATATATATATATATATATATATATATATATTTATTTGAACTCTTATCCTATAAATGGAACTGGTTTATTTACGCTGGACGTGCCTTAACCGACTCGGCTGAGAAATGATGGTTCCGTATGAAGGATGCAGGTACGGAACCGTCAAAGGACGAACATTTAACCTATGTAAATGATGGTTCCAGAGGATGCATTCAGGTCAAAGGACGAAATGTTATTTCGGATATTCACTGTTTATTTAAATAGTTTATTTAAAACATATTTACTTAAA